CCTATGTTCGACTCGAACGTTCAGCCCATCCTTAATTGTGAGAGTGAAATCTGTTCCATATCCAGATCCACTGAACCTGGCTGGGGCTCCAGACTGCAGATTGGTTGCACCATATATAATTGGTGTTGGAGGTTGTCCTGGTTTCGGCTGGTACCAGTGCAAGTCGTTGGTGATACCAGCACTGGATTGACATGAGATGGTGACTGTCTGTCCTGGAGTCGCAGTGATGTCATTCGGAGTCTGTGTCAGTGTAATCTGTGCCCAGGAACCTGAGGATGGTGAAAAAAATAGTAATGTCTGTATACACAGCAAAATTATAAGATTTAAACCCATTTCTATCATTTAAATCTTTATTGAAGTCTCACCCTGAATATAAATCAGTATGAGAGGAAGTAGAATCCCCTGAGAACCCATCTTGATGTCTCTGCACTGACACACACAGACTACTGAGATGTCACATGTACAATGTCTCCTATATAACGGCTGCAATCATTAGGGGGGGAACACCCTGACATCATATATGGAAATCAGGAAACATGCAAATTACTGTAACAGTTTTAGTCATCAAATAGTTCCACATTCTTACATTCTAGGCTCTATTTACTTTTCTGATGTCGGATGAATACAAGATTAATTTTTTTGGCTCTCAAAGGTTACAGTTCAAAACAATTCAGAGAATGGAGAGAATATTGGGTCTGCCATTGCTGACCTCTGCTTTTGAAAGTGCTAGTTGCTGGGCTGTCAAGCTGATTGAAAGATAACTTCACTCCGACTTACTGATCTGTATGCCCGTTCGAGGTCAGTGACTTAGAGAGTATTTAAACCAGAGGCCATAAGACAACCAGCATTGTAGAAAAGTATTCATCAATGGCAGCCTTAGAATCATTGTCAGTACTGGTTTTCATTAATTAAAATGTGTGTATTTTCATAGTAATTCTTCTTATTATTATTTTAAAGCAAGACTCCAGGCAGATATAAAACACACAAATTAATGTTGCTCTGTATTAAATAATACAATATTCAATCAATGTATAAAATGCAAACAGTGTAAATATGTTGTATTTGACTTGGTATTGGTCTATTGGAATTCCTGTAAAGCAGCAAAGCTTAGACTGGAAAAGGGACAGGCAACACAAGGTTCAACGGCTGATAAGGAGCATGTTGACAGAAGTGGAGAGCACAGTAAATAAGAGATTAGCTCATCAATCTGTTTGTCATTCATTGTCCAATCAAAGGCTGGGGGAGGGTAATAGACCTGCAAGTTGCTTAACTTCACCAGAAAAAGATCAGGTTTCCTTCCCTGACAGACAGGGCCATGCTGTTGTATAAATCTTAGAAATGGATGAATAGACATACACATCCTTTAGCAGATAGAACTGTAACTGTATAGGTATTTTTCTCTGTGTTTGCCTGGAGTTCAGCATTAATCAGGTGGTATAAATATAAAAGAAATATACTTTTCACAGAAATAATCGGAAGCCACTTCTATGAACTGTAATGATCCTTTTATCTGGAGGTACATGTATTATGTGTGATAATTTTCCACATCCTGTAACAGGCCAAGCTGTCCAGCTAACGTGTTGCTGTAACTGTTAGAGTTGGGATTTCATTTGTTGGTCACCAGTATAAATGCTTTACCTGCTGTCAACATAAAATAAGACTTTGTCATGGTCTGCCTTAGGTAGATATTGTTACTGTTCACAATGCAACTAGTCAGCTCTCCCTTGATTGGTTGGCTGAGTTTGGGCAAAAATAGAGCTATTAGTGACCCTATAAAGAGCAAACGGAGTTCGACTCAGCCGATCAAACATCTGGATCGGCTGAGCCGAACCTCTGGCAGGCTACACACTTCCGTTCGACCTATTCACATAGGGGCCGAATGGCAGTCAGTGACTAGCTGAATGCCGCCGAGCGGGATACGACTTAGCTATTCTGCTTGGTAACTCCGTGGTACTGAGCAGAATAAAAAAAACAATGAAAAAAAGTTGAAAAAAGTAGAAAACAATTGGGCTGAGCCAGTCATGACATCACAGGCGGCTCCGCCGAGTTCTCATTGTGTAATGACAGTTCAGCTTCCCTGGTGACCAGGGGACGCTGAACTGTCATGGTTACGTGGTAACTAGGGTACGCTGAACTGTCATTGCACCTGGCCGGAGCCAGCCTTGAGGTCACGGCTGGCTCCGCCCAGCTGTCAGTTGCGAGGCTCAGGCGGCCTAAGCTAGCCGAAGGATCAGCCAGAGCCACGGCTGATCCTTTGGCTAGCTTTGTGAATAACCCTCTTAGTTTCTCTAAAACAAATGTGAATAGGCCTAATGGTGCAACATTTATGCTGGAGGCCACATGGGCAGGTAAAATTATAAATAACAATTTAAGAGGCTGCGTCAGGTAATAGACCTGTGTCTATTCCCAGTCTTCTAATGTCTAGAACTCTTCATATGGCAGAGAATTATGTGCCTGCATCCGCAGGAGTAAGATTTGCTTCTGCATTTAGCATGTGTGTGTGTACTAGACAGTCATACTCCTTGTGTTACTTTTATAATTCAAAACTGGCAAATGAACAAGTTAATATAAATGTATTCTAAGTTGAACTTTTACCTCCAAAATGCTTATAATTGATGATATTCTCAATGCTCATTGTATATCACTAACTCATAATTCACTCTGTATGTGTGTGCTTGGTGTTTGAGTAAAAATGGGTAGAATGTTAAATTAACAACAAACCTTAGATTACTTTCACGGCTTGCTGAAAGAATTTAGACAGTGTGTATAACAGCAGCTTTTAGGTCTCTCAGATTCGAGGTATTGGCATCAGTCTGGTGACAGGAGTATCTAAAGTACGGGGGGAGGGGGGGCTCCATCTTTGTACCAGGTATATAAGTCTACTGTTTCAAAACTGTAATGAGTAAACGGTATGAATAGCCAAAACTTTTGTTTTTATTAGTTTTAGATTAAGTTGGTTATTTTCTCTGCCTGCATCCTGCTTGGGAGATTTCCATGCACTTCCTCTTCTGAAGATGCAACAAAAAAAGAGTAAATTTTTCCAATATGAAAGGAATTCCGCCCTTAGAGAGTTGTCACAGGAACAGGCAAGCTCATCTTGGATTTTTTCCTCACCTCTTACTCTGATTAGAAAACTGTTTGGTATTTTATCATCATTGTGCAAGTGACAATGGTCATCAGGACAAACAGAGGGGTGAATCTCCTGGTCAGGATACCAATACAAACTTGACAGGAGGTCTAATTCTCACCACCAAAAAAATGTCTTTGTACTTACACTGCCACCAACAACATTAACTCTAAAAAAAAATCAGTTACATGAAGATGTTATATTTAGGTCATCACTGCATGTAAAAGAGGAATTAGGTTTTTGTACGGCTCTGTACCACTGTGTGAGAGGAAAGCTGTTACTCTGCTGACAGTAATAATTTGCTTCATCTTCATCCTTTATGTTGTTGATTTTAAGAGTGAAATCTGTTCCAGATCCAGATCCACTGAACCTGGCTGGGGCTCCAGAATGCAGATTGGTTGCATAGTATATAATCAGTGTTGGAGGTTGTCCTGGTTTCTGCTGGTACCAGTGTAAGTTGTTGCTGACACCAGTACTGGATTTACATGAGATGGTGACTGTCTGTCCTGGAGTCGCAGTGATGGCATTCGGAGTCTGTGTCAGTGTAATCTGTGCCCAGGAACCTGAGGATGGTAAAGAAAATAGTCATTTCTGCATACACAGCAAAATTATAAGATTTAAACCCATTTCTATCATTTACATCTTTATTGAAGTCTCACCCTGACTATAAATCAGTATGAGAGGAAGTAGAATCCCCTGAGAACCCATCTTGATGTCTCTGCACTGACACACACAGACTACTGAGATGTCACCTGTACAATGTCTCCTATATAACGGCTGCAATCATTAGGGGGGAACACCCTGACATCACATATGGAAATCAGGAAACATGCAAATTAACATGTAACCATAGGCAAACTAAGCAGTCTGTCACTAGCATTAGGTCTCGGTTCACATGTGTGTGCTGTATTATAAGAAAGCGCATTGGTATGCATTGCATCGCGTGTTAACACACAATCTGTTGATTTGAATCATCTTCTTAACATACTAAAAGACACAAAAAATGTGCATGTACTTTTTTTAAAGGCAGTGTGTTACCATGGATTGTGGTGCACCAAAAACCCAATACGTTAGCAAGGTATACTGAGGTACCATTAAAAGAAATAGTACCAGAGCACCCAAATCAAAACCTGCACATTTTTACTTATTTTTCTGAGTACATTTCTGCAGCACAAAGGTGTGAGCCCAGCCTAAACCATACGTTTATAGGCATCCTTGTTGGTTAATTACTGATTGATCCTGCTGGTAGATGTTATGTTTCTTCTTCTTGTAACAGGCCAAGCTGTCCAGGTAAATTGTTGCTGTAACTGTGAGTTGGGCTTTATTGAGTTAGTCACTTATTTAACCAGTTGACATCCGCGGTGTTAAACCCCCTTCCCATCCAGGCCATTTTTAAGTATTCAGCGCTGCGGTACTTTGACTGACATTTATTCCGTCATGCAACGCTGTACTGATATGAATTTTATACCCTTTTTTGGGGACAGATAGAGCTTTCTTTTGGTGGTATTTATTCACCACT